ACCATTGTAGGGACCAAGTTCAGGCGAGCCCGTGTGCACAGTAGATTAGGAAATCGGCGGTATAATTGTCGATTGGGTGATTTGGGCTTGGAGATCAATGGTATGGACAAGATGACTAGCAAAAGGGGAATTATGGGATGATTGAAATGGGTGTTAGTTTATATAATGGGGCATTCGGAATCACAGTGGTAAAATGCATGGTATGGGACATGCGGATTTGCTTGCCCTATTATATAGATTAACGGGTTGGGTAGAATTGAAGTTCCTTCATACATTGCATAAATTGTACATTAAAAATCTCACTAATCATATAGGGCCCCTACTGAGCATGTAATGCTCACCCCTTAATGAATTTATTGCAGGTTTTGAATCTGAAGTTTAGTTGTGACAAGGAAACAAGAAGAATGAGTTGCAGATAGTTTTGAATGTTTTGTTAAGAGTTTGTATTTTCCTGAAATTTTGCTTGTAAAATTACAATGTAAATTACTTTAGTTTAAATAGAAGTTTTATGTTTAATTCTCATGTTTCTTGCTATTTAAATGTTAAATTTTAGTTTTCCTTTTACCTCACACTCTCAATAATTAAGTAAATAAATTGGGGTGTGACAATCTTTCACTTTCTTTGATAGCCTTAAAAGCCTAGCTAATGAACACCACCCAATTGATGTCCCAATAAAGATTACCAATAGATTAGTCTCCACAGTTTCAATCAACACATTCTCATGCCCAAACAATTCATGTGCAGGACCAAACGGGACCCGCCTCGCTGCTAGCATGAACAATATAAGCTTCGTAAGCCCTACAACAATAGACATTCTAGAAGCCTATTATTACCATATTCATGGGATTTATAAAATGGGTTTCCTAGATTTTCCACCTCCGGTATTTAATTTTACAGGGGAAAACCTACCCCTCTTTTTACAAGTTCCAAAGAGAGGGACAAAGGTGAGGGTTTTCAAATATGGGTCAATTGTGGAACTTGTTTTTCAAGGGACAAACTTGGGTGCACCAATCATCCAATACATTTGCATGGGTTTAGCTTCTACATTGTTGGATTGGGGTTTGGGAATTTTGCCAATGATAAGGACCCATTAAACTATAATCTCATTGATCCTCCTCTTAGGAACACTTTCACTGTGCCCATAAGGGCAGTTCCAGTAGCCCCCTAGGGCTCGGGCTGGGAGGCGGCAAGAGCCCAAAAGTGAGTTCCAGCAACACAGGCTGGCCCGGGCAAGTGGTGGGGTCCATGAGCCTGGGCTGGCCCGAAGGGGGAGGGGGCCCGAGCGACAGCCTGCGGGCTGGATGATGTCAGCGTGCTACAGTGATGCTACAGTGCCGCCAACAGCTCTCTGCCAAGTGTCGCGTTTTGGGCTCTCCGATCAGAATTTTTCCTCCAATCCAACGGCAGCCAATTTTTGTGCAATAAAAAAATGAAAAAAAAATTGAAATTTTTTTAAAAAATACCCCAAAATTATGTAATTTTTTTCTATAAATACCTACCAAAACTCTTCACTTTCAACACCAAATCCTCATACATTTTCTTCTACTTCTACTATTATTCACTTTTTACTCAAGTATTGACAAGTACGAACCCAAAAATTTTATCCGAAAATATTGTCCAAATTAATTGTTTAGGTAAACAAATTTGTGAAAAAAAATAAAAAAAAATAAATAGTGTTTGCCCTTTGCCATGGCAACTGCTGGAAACACACTTAGCTTTTTGCAAGGGCAGCCACTATTCATGTGAATAGTAGCTGCCCTAGCCCCCCCCTTGACATGGCAAGGGGCTAACTGCTGGAAGTGCCCTAAGTGGCTGGGCCGCCATCAGATTCCATGCCGACAATCGGGGTAAGTATATAGGATATGCCCTAACATTAATTATTAATTGCTATCTAATATATTTGTGTTTTTTTTATTTTTCCTAAGAAGTAGTTAGTAAAATACTGAACGAGAAAAGTACAAATAAAATACGTATGTGTTTTATTCGGCAAAATTTTGGCAAGATACAACTGAAAAGTTTGGCCACTATATATTTTTAATAATTTATTTACATTTTTATTCAATAATATGTGAAAATATGTGTATAATACGTGAATTTTGTCTGTATTAATTATTCAAACTTTTATTAAAAAAAAACACGTGTATCAAACATAAAAATACATATGTACGTGTATAAAAAATTTATGTATTTCACAGAGTCTTTAAGACGTGTACAGAAAACGGAAGTATTATTGAAAAATACGTACGTGCGTGTATAATATGAGTATTAAATGGGAAAATGCTAACAGGTAAGAACATTAGATTAGTCAAGAAATTGTTACATCGATTACCAAATGTATGGTTGGTTTTTTGTTTGAACTTGGAATCTTTTTCACTATTGCAAAAAGCCCTAGCAAGACCAAGAATTAGTTTATCACTTTAGATATGGATAGAAATAGAAACAACTAAACAAAAGAGGCTAGTTAATCCAAGTTGTTATTTCTTTTATTTTAAATTATTTTTATTTATTTATTTACTTTGTAATCTTTTTTCTCATTTACCTGATAAAACAGGAGTATAGTTTTTGCACTGCCATTTGGAGCGTCACCTAACTTGGGGAATGAATTCATTGTAAAGAACGGAAAAAACAAGAAGGAAAGGTTGCTGCCTCCGCCACCAAGAATGCCATTAATTAAGACTTTGTCCGAAATTGGCTTCGTCATTGCCCTTTTTTTTAAATTAAAAAAAAAAAACATAAAATAAAGAGTTGGATATCATAGCATTTCATACAAATAGCTTTTATTGTAATGGAAGACAATCGATTAGTTACAAAACAAATTTTTTATTGATTCCGAATAACTGAACTACAATAAAATTGTGTAACATAATGGAGCGAATTGTGTAAGAATAATGCTAGACACACGAATTTGTAAACTTTAAAAAATTCAAAAAATTGCGACTATTTAGTAATCCTTAAAGAATCCACAACCTTTAGTAAAATTGCTATAAATCAACAATCTTCTCATGTAATGTTGTAGCTTCATAGCATACGACGTACTTCTTCAGGATACATCACCCTCCAGAAAGAGAAAGATGTATATCCTGAAGTAGACTTCCTTGTGTCTACACATCAACAAAGTCCGAATCTGAATATCCAACCACTTCTGAATGTCAGAATGTATGTACATGAGCCTATACAATCCATGATCCCTTGCACATATACCTCAAGACCTTATTAGTACATTTCCGGTGCTCAATTTCAATGTCCATTTCAGATTTATCGAAGTGGAAACAGTAGCCATAGCTAACAATTTTGTAGTCGTAGTCAAGCATATACATCATACTTATCCAAAAGCATAGGCTTAACTGCTTAAAGTGGATTATTAATATTCCTGCTTAAAGTGGGTACTAAAGCTACCATCAATTTCTATGGTAGACAACTAGACATTCTCAAAATGCTAGTTGATAGCATAAATGTCAAACATAGCTGAGTCTGCATTACTATCATTGAAAATGAAAGAGGCCAAAGTTGCTGGTCTAAACATCAAAACAATTTCCAAAAGTTTTGCCCGATGAAGATTTCTAGTTCGTCCTATATAGTTCTACCCCCTACCATCAACTCAACCAAACCAATCCCTTTCCAAATGGTTCAACAATTCGAACCAAATTTTTGAAACACAAAAAGTCATGTTCGTGATACTAAAAACAGTAAACATTTAATTCAATTGCGTGTCAGTTTTCCATAATGGTTTCCCTGTTAGTCAGGTGATCCACTGAATTAAGGAATCATTCCTATCACATCCATCAAACTATCGGTGCCCTTAACTTCATTCTGTCATTATCTTTTTCTATAAATTCAACAGGCTACAAAGCTTTTAAAATTAACTAAGTACAGTAGCAAGAGCAGAAGAAATTGATACTTGTGTTCATACGTCCAAAAAAGATGTTGTCTGGAAAGAGGAACTCTGCCTCTGCCCTGCAGATTTTATCTCTTCTACTTCTATTTCTTCATTGCCAAGCTTCATCCCATAATTATCATTTTGTGGTAATTGGATTCTGTCAATGTTCATGTTTTCGTTAATTTGTTACGTGCATACGTATTGTTTTTATGGTTGCATAAAAGATCATATTGCTTATCCCTCCTTGTCAGTGTTCATTGTCAATTCATTTCTTGAAATTCTCACACTTAATTACATGTCTATTTTCCGCGCGCATATGCTTCGTTATTATAGGTGAAAGAAGCTACATATACAAGGTTGTGCAGTACCAAGGAAATATTGACAGTAAATGGAAAATTTCCTGGACCAGTTTTACAAGCTCATAAAGGTGATACAATCTATGTCAATGTCCACAACAACGGCAGATACAACATCACTATCCACTGGTATATATATGAATTTAATTTCACTTGAATAATTTTTTTTTTCTCTAAATGGTTCGGTGGGTTGATTAATTTGCTTTGAGTAGTACTTAAATTTTGTTATTTTTTGACACAGGCATGGAGTAAAGCAACCGAGGTATCCATGGTCAGATGGTCCTGAATACATCACACAATGTCCAATTCAGCCTGGGCATAAATTCAAGCAAAAGATTATATTTTCGGAAGAAGAAGGAACCATCTGGTGGCATGCACATAGTGACTGGTCTCGAGCCACAGTTTACGGAGCAATTATTGTCTATCCAAAACGTGGAGCTAGCTATCCATTTCCCCAGCCTCATGAAGAAGTACCAATTATATTAGGTAATTCTAGTTCTTAAGTTTTATACTCGACATTTCTTAATTCCAAGCAATAATTGAGAATCTTCTTTTCTTTTTCTTTCTTTTTCGGATTACAATAATTGAGCCTCTTCACCAACAGCTTAAGCTCTTGTTCAAAACACAGGTCAGTGGTGGAAAAGGGACGTAATGGAGGTATTTGAAGAATTTGTTCGAACCGGAGGAGATCCTAATGTTTCTGATGCTCACACCATCAATGGTCAGCCTGGTGACCTCTATCCATGCTCAAAATCAGGTCTACAATTTAATCAAGCCTTTCACTTTTCAAAAACGTTTCATCCATCCACTACTTCATTAATTCACCCACTTTCTTTTTGCAGCAACATTCAAACTCTTTGTGGACGAAAACAAGACCTATCTGCTCCGGATAGTAAACGCTGCAATGAACAGCATTCTCTTCTTCTCAATCGCAAACCATAACCTCACAGTGGTGGGAGCAGATGGGAGCTACACAAAGCCAGTGACAAGAGATTGCATCACAATATCACCGGGACAAACCCTAGATGCCTTGCTGCTCACAAACCAACAAGTTGGCCAATATTACATGGCCGCTAGGGCTTACTCAAGCAGTCCTGCTGTTGCTTTTGACAACACCACAACCACAGCAATAGTACAATACAACAATAGAAATTCCACTCCATTTTCAAGCCCTCCAATATTACCTTACCTTCCTTACTATAATGATACAAATGCAGCCTTCAATTTCTTTGATAGCCTTAGAAGCCTAGCCAATGAAGACCACCCAATTGATGTCCCAAAAAACATCACCACAAGATTAATCTCAACAGTATCAGTCAACACATTTCCCTGCCCAAATAATTCTTGTGAAGGACCGAATGGGACCCGCCTAGCTGCCAGCATGAACAACATAAGTTTTGTGGACCCCACAACAATTGACATCCTAGAAGCGTATTATTATCATATTAATGGGGTGTTTAGAGAAGGTTTCCCAGATTTTCCACCGCTGGTGTATAATTTTACAGGTGAAGATCTGCCATTGATTTTACAAACACCAAAGAGAGGGACAAAGGTGAAGGTTTTCGATTATGGGTCAATTGTGGAATGTATTTTTCAAGGCACGAACTTGGTTGCTGGGATTGATCATCCAATGCATTTGCATGGGTTTAGCTTCTATATTGTTGGAAGAGGGTTTGGGAATTTTGACCAAGACAAGGACCCCTTAAACTACAATCTCGTTGACCCTCCTCATAGGAACACCGTGACTGTGCCTATAAGTGGCTGGACCGCCATCAGATTCAAAGCCAACAATCCGGGTAAATACTCTTAATCAACTGAGTTACAAGTTCCTTTCGACTAGTAATTGACTATTAATATTAATACTATTATTTGTTACATAAGTTATAAAAGATTGATCATGAGTTACCAGAGCCCCTTGCTCCATAATTTTAATATTAGATAAGTACAGCATATATTTAGATCGAAGGATGAAAAGGATAAGAGCTAGTTAATTAATTTAAACAGTTGGTGTATATAAGTTATCGTTGTTATTTTATTAATTGTTACGTACTGTGATGTTTTTTTTTCCAATATTGTACAGGAGTATGGTTCTTGCACTGCCATTTGGAGCGTCACCTAACATGGGGAATGAACACCGTTTTCATTGTAAAGAACGGAAAACACAAGGAGGAAAAGCTGCTGCCCGCACCACAAGAAATGCCACCATGCTAAGAATTTGACCCATAATTATATTGTGTTAATATAATAATATACAATACGACAGTGAAAAAAAAATACTTTGTTTTTGTAATTTATTATAGAATAAGAAAAGCAAATAGACTTGGCTTAGCTGATGTTAAATAATGTACGTTGGTTGCTGTATTAGTAAAGACTATACTTGATTGAATTGACATTATAATTACACAGATTTTATTATATCTTTTGGTCATATGAAATTGAACGACATGAACAATAATTACCTGATGTTCCTTCCCACATATGATTTCATTTTAAACAAACATAGCTACACAGACACCGATCAAAAACATGTTATTCATTTTATTTTATTTTTGTCTGAACCATGAGGTGGTCCTGGATGGGCCCCAACTATGGGTGGCACCTTTAAGCCTTAACAACAACCCAGACTAATCCCCACTCACACCGGATCGGCCCGTAAGGGGTAAAGTGTTGACCAAAGTGGTAAAACATGTTATTCATTTTCAGTTCACTTGTTTCCATCAACAAAATGGAAAAGTGGAAAGAAAACGGTTAATGAGGAGACGATGCCATCAACATAATATGCAATCTCCTCTCCCCTTCATTTTCATCAATCTGATAACCCAGGGGTAAAAGTGCTATCATTGGGCTAAAAGTGCTATAAAAAAAGTAGTGTTTCGTGGCAATCCAAAAATGTTGCGGTACCCTATTACAGCGTTTTGATGCATAGGTATGAAAACTTTGATAGCACTTTTGAAAAGCCATTAAAAAGAAAATGATAGCGTTTAGAAACCGCTACGGAAGACAGACATATGATAGCACGTCAAAAACACTATTATATAGCTTTGGTTTTCTTACTGTCGGCTGACACGGTGATTTCTATAACGCTATTATAGCCTATTATAGCGTTTTTGCAATGATGTCTATGAGAAGTTGTGATATTCAAGGACTAAAATATCGATAATATCGACGAAATTATATTGGAAAATATCGACGTTGATAATTTCTCACATTTCAGCAACATTTGGCCAAAATATTGATAATATCGAGATGATGAAGACAATGAAAATTTTGAACCACCCCCCCCGCCAAATGAGATTTCTTTTGTTTTCACAAAACCCCCTCAAGTCTCAAAAATTACACGAACACCTCCTGAGGTTTCAGTTTGTTTTCACAAAATCCCTTTTCATTGATTGTTTGTACAAAAATTAATGATTTTATTGAGAAAACAAAACTTATGCAAATGACAAAATTAACCTCAATGAAGTATATACAATCTAATCTCAAAGACCAGCTTTGTCATTTGGAATTTTTTCTTGTATAAACTCATCAATCTTTGGATAATAAAAAAATCAATGAAAAGGAGTTTAGTGAAAACAATTTAAAATCTCAAGAGGTGTTCTTGTAATTTCTAAAACCTCAAGGAGTTTTGTGAAAAAGCCGAAAACCTCAGGAGGTGTTGGTGTAAATAACTCAAATTTGAACCTTATAGGAACTCTATGTGGTACTAAGTGCCCGTTTGGCATTGCTTATTTGGGGTGATAAGTGATTTTTAAAAACTTTTGAGAAGCCCTGCCCGTTTGGTAAACTATGAGAAAATCACTTATTGTTAAAAATTGTTATGAGAGAAAGCTATAAGGGAAAGCAGCTAATGAGGTTCTTTCATTTTCTGATTATGAGAGAATTAGTTTCGAAGAGGTGCTAAGTTTAATTATTATGCGGGAATCATTTTCTGATTATGCGGGAATCAGTACCAACAACACTTTTAACAAAAAGTTTACCAAACGCCAAATTGTTTTATCTCACAGCTGATTTCTCTAACAACAAATCTGACAGTGATTATTTTCACAGCACAGCAATACCAAACTGACCCGAAGTCACTCATGGATCTTACCATGCAATGTATAAAGTGTTAATATTGTAGTAAATCATTATAAATAAATAAGACTTAATATCACAAAACATCCCTAAGGTTTACGAAACTATCAGATTGCATCCTTAATGTTTTTTTGTGTCACTCGTGGTCCTCAAGGTTAGTATTTGCGATCACAAATGATCCCTATCGTTAGGTTCCATCAAAAACTCTGTTAGTTTGCTGACGTATATATATATATATATACCACAAAACATCCTTAATGTTCACACACTTATCACAAATGGTCCCTACGAATTTTTTTAATTTTTTAATTTAAAATTCATAAAATTTTAGTTTTCTTTTTTAAATTATTTATAAATGAAAAAACCATTTATAGAAGGATTTTAATCTTGAGAACCATTTATGAACCCTAAACCCTTAGTTTTTTCATTTTTAAATCTTATGAATTTTAAATTATTTTTAAAAAACTCCATTAATTTGTTGATGTGGCATATATATGGAGCCCACATCTACAATAATATAGTGTCACATGTATTTAAAATATAATATATATTTTTAAATAATATAAAATTCATAAAATATTTAAAAGAAAACCAAAATTTTATGAATTTTAAATTAAAAAATTAAAAAAATTCGGGGACCATTGGTGATAGGTCCGTGAACCTCAGGGTTGTTTTGTGATATATATATATGCCACATCAACAAACTAACGGAGTTTTTGACAGAACCTAACAACAGGGACCATTTGTGATCACACATACTAACATTGAGGATGACAAATGACACAAAAAAACATTAAGGATGAAATCTGATAGTTTCGTAAACCTTATGGACGTTTTGTGATAATAAGCCAATAAATAATTTTGGTTTTTTTAATCTTCTTTCATTAATTTCTACATATTTTCTACACTCACAGTGTTTGTCAACTCACTATATAATCAACTTAAATCAATTTAACCCATCATGCAATGTATTTCCTTCCAATTTTTTTGTGATAAAGTATTAGATAATTGACTAAATAAACATTCTCCAAAGTTTCAAGAAAAATTTACAAGCTTTTCTTCAAATTTCCGTGGTTTTTATTCAATTTTTATTGATAAAGGTAATTTCTTGATATTTCCATCGAAATTTCCGAAACCATCGATATTTTAGACCTTGGTGATATGATATATGCAAAATTGGACAGGGAAGTATCTGTAATGGCAAAAGTCCAATTTTTGTGTGCTTATGGCTTTTTTTTTTTTTTTTTTTTTGTTACATTGGGAGGAAAGAAAACCCTTGGGGTTTTGAACTTGGATGTCAAGCAGGGGGAAGGGGGGAGGCACCACTGTGCTTTTGTTTGTTGTTAGAGTACCTATGCGCCTTGGCTGGCATACGGGTATGGCTCCAAAACTACGGTTCAAAGGAAAAGTTATGATGGTGTAGAATAATCAATCTACTAGAGCTTTATTATGATATGTAGACATTTTGCGGACTTGCCAAGAAGGAGCCTCGAACGCTTTGTTGGCCACGCTTGGTTCAACTCTCGCAACCGTTGTCTTCATCGCACGAGTGTCCACCAACACACTTGTGTTTCTCTGGTGGATTTCAGCTAATCATCAGACACTTCCGTTGGGAGTTCTTTGTTTTCGCTCCTTGGACACAAGCCCAGGTTATAATGAGTTTCTGAGCAATGGTTTGCTGTTTTTAGTAACGACTAGATACTACCAAGGCAGTTGTGTTTCTCTCGTGGACTCCAGCCAGTCAGTCACTTTATCGTTGCTTACTTCAGCCGTGATTTTGTGAGTTCTCAGTCTCCTTTTTCTATTACATAAACTCAAGTTAGGATCCCAAAGTATTTTGATTTGCTAACAGCTCTCCCTTGATTATCTATTTCCCTATTTTTATTCAGTGTGCAGTTCTGAGTCATGGTATTGCTGATTATTTTTTTTGGGTAATTGATATTCCGTTTCAAACATTTGCGATAGTTGAAAAGACTGAGAGATTGTACTTTGAAGATGTTACATACATTGGGGAGTATAGTTTTGCAGATTATATCAAACAGCAGCAGGTAAAACTATTTTTTGTTGTCTTTAATTAACAAAATGAATCGTAAGCACTCTGCAAATTGCTTGTTTTAGTTACAAGGTCTCCAGCCAATTGCTTGTGATATTAATCTCATATTGCTTTGGCAGCATGTTCGGTTAATTGGTACACAGATGAGAAACTAGCTAGTCTCCCATGGCGTTGAGCACCGAAAGAGCCTCTTCATCGTCTGTTCCTAGAGCTATTCAAAGGAAATATGATGTCTTTTTGAGTTTTAGGGGTGAAGACACCCGCAAGCGTTTTACAGCCCATTTATATGAGGAACTGAAATATTTAGGAATTAGAACTTTCTTGGACAACCCTGAACTTGAAATAGGAAAATCGATTCCTGCAGAACTGTCCTCAGCAATTAAACAATCAAGGTTAGCCATCATTGTGATCTCTCCAAATTATGCTTCTTCAACATGGTGCCTTGATGAACTTCTAAAAATTCTTCAGTGCATGGAAGCAAGAGACGCTGTTCTGCCAATTTTCTATGATTTGGAACCTTCTGATGTTCGAAAACAAACGGGGAGCTTTGCGAAAGCCTTCAGATACCATAAAAAAAGGTTTGACACAAATAAGCTGAAAGACTGGAAAGCGGCTTTAACAAAAGTCGCTAATCTTATAGGATGGACTTCAAAGGATAAGTTAGTATTACTTCTTTCTTCCCTTAACTCCAACCTTTTTATAAATGAACTGTGGACTTCAAAGCACTTCATTACAACATCGTATTCATGACAACAAATAGAAGTCACAATTTAATCTTGTCACACTGTCAATCTGTCAATTTGAGCCATTTATTCTTGTTAAATAATGTGGTTCTCAAATGTCATAATAATGCATTTCCAGATTAACAATATTTGGCACATGACAATGCCAAATATGGCAACATATATGCTGGCTCACAATTTCCCGGTCTAGTGGAGGTTTGGAAATACCGTGCAATGGAAACTGTAGAACATATAAGAATATAGGAGGTTGAGGAGAAGAATAGATAGAAGAAAGGCAGAAATCAGATAGATTTATGAGAAGGTTTACCAATATTCAAATCTGAACATTAAAAAACAACATGAGGTATTTATAGCAAACTAAAACCTAGAGACAATAGGATAAAAATCCCTTACTAAAACAGGAATCATAACTCAAATAAAATATGAAATTTAGAAATCATACTAGGAAACTAATCAATTTAGGTCCTACGCATCCTGCATCAATCCTTTTTTTTTCTTTTGGTCCGAAACTAAATCCATCAGTGTTCATAAAAATATTAGAGAAAACACATAACAAGGGCCAAACCCACAAAAGTCAATGGAAGGGTGCCCATCTAGCCAGAAATCAAACCAAGTAAAGGCGCCGGTAAGAGAAAGAAAGACATGCCCAATTAAAGAGCTGTCCATTCCAGTAGTTGCACAATACAACAAAATAACCCCAAATTTCAGAAACCCTAAGTACAAAATAACCCCAACTCGCCACCGTCGCCGCCGTTTCATCAGTCCTTGTTTAGGTAAGAGTTGTAAACCTTGCTTTGTTGTTACTCCAAGCTTAGGACAGAGTTTAGGCATAGAGGTCTCCTTAGCCGTATTGAATCTTCAAATCCCTAACGCTGTTAGCTTTCCATCACATAGAATTTCCGTCCAATTAAAAGAATTAAAATAAGTAAAAGAAATATAAAAAACCCCTTACTAATGGGGGCAGACGTACCGTTCAGGTAGGCAAACAAAAGTAAGTGTCACTTTCTTTTCTTTGTCTATTTATGATTCATTTATCTCATTCCCTTCTTGTTTCCTTTCTTGTTGTAGGGATGAACCACGACTCATCAAAGAAATTGTTCAAAAGGTACAAACCAAAATACCTCCTGTATTCTGGGAATCAAAAAAGCTGGTTGGGATTGAGCCAAGGTTGGAGCAACTATATGCGCTTTTAGATATTGACTCTGATGATGTTCACTTCATAGGGCTTTGCGGAATGGATGGGATTGGTAAGACAACCATTGCTAAGATAGCTCGCAAAACCCTTGGAGATAAATTTGATGTGAGCAGATTTTTCAGCGTTAAGATGGTTTCTGAAAAACACGGCCTTGTCAATTTACAAAGAAGACTTTGCAAAAGCCTTATGAAGAGAAATTCAGAATACTGGGACAACATTGATGAGGAAGCCACCATGATAAACTTCTTAGTTCAAAAAAAGGTTCTTCTCATTCTTGATGACGTGGATGACATAAGTCAGTTAGAGAACTTGTGTGGAAACAGAGATTGGTTTGGTCCGGGGAGCAGAATCATTATTACAACTGCAAATGAAAAATTGCTAATTACACATGGTGTGGAAATATTTAAGGTGCCGGAGTTAGATGCAAATGAAGCTATTCAACTTTTTAGCTCGAAAGCCTTCAAAAGAGATTATCCAGACAAAAATTTTACAGCTTTATCTCGATGTTTTGTGAATTATGCCAATGGCCTTCCGCTAGCTCTTGAAGTCTTGGGATCATATTTGCATAAAAGAGATCTGCATGAATGGACAAGTGAATGGACAAAACTGAAAGATACCTGTTCGTTAAACAATGACAGTAGCAGAAAGATTATGGAGGTACTTAAAATAAGTTATGATAGATTAGATGAAGAGCAAAAAACTATTTTCCTTGATATCGCATGTTTCTTTAAAGGAAAGTGCAAACATCAAGTACTGAAAATATTAAACAGTTGTGGCTTTCAATCAGATATTGGCATAAAGGTTCTTGTCGAGAAGTCTCTGATAACAATTTCTGATAACATGGTGTTGATGCATGATTTGTTTCAAGTAATGGGTCAGGCAATTGTAGTTCAACAATCTAAAGAACCTGGTGGGCGTAGTAGGTTGTGGCGTTCTAGGGACATCTATCCTGTTTTGAGGGATAATACGGTAAGAGACTAGTTACTTACTTCTCTAAATTTGATTTCCTTCTAATGTGCAGATGACTTATACTTTCTGACTATAGAATTGTAAGTAATGAGTTTGATTTCATATAAGCCTAGAGTGTTAATTGTGTATTCACTTAGTCCTAGAGAATGACAAGTGTAAGACTTCAATCGTGTAAGGCTGAAAATAGCCACTAGTAGTAATCCTAGATTTGAGCTAGATGGATGGCTGAGATTCATTGTAGCTTGTGTGAATCCAGCTAAGAGCTAACAGTCATGTAGTACATGCCGTGTGAGCTCATTCTTACAGATAGAGAATATACAAACTCTTACACACATACTTTGTGTGTAAGCAGAGCATTCTTTCAATTAGCTATTCTCGATTCCTTCATTTTTCTCTAACTGACCAATCCACAAACTCAGCTTGAATAGCAAAACATTAACACTAACATTATGTTAACATGTTCTTTAATCTTGATTATCAGGGGACAAAATCAGTTGAAGGAATTGTCCTACCCTTTCCTGAATCAGAAGAGGCAAAATGCAATCCTGAAGCATTTTCCCAGATGTCTGATCTTAGAATTCTCAAAATTCATAATGTGCACCTTCCCAGAGGACTCAAATATCTTCCTGATTCCTTGAGATTTCTTGAATGGAGAGGTTATCCTGAAAAGGATCTTCCACCAGATTTTGAAGCCCATGAGCTTGTTGAACTCAACATGTGCCATAGTAGCATTAAACAACTTTGGATTGGAGTAAAGGTATAAGTCTAATACAACTAGAACATACCCCTTCTAAAGGAGGATCCCACTCCACTGGAAACCCATATCGACAACTCTGTAATCGAATTATCTATATTATCAATAATATGGATAACATATCGATTTTCCGATATCAGGTCGAAATGGATTCCATTCAATTGTATCTGAAACGGGATCCCCTTATGAAGGGCACTATATATATACTCTGCAAGTTTTTCTGAATCTTCTTATTATGAATTTCCTGTACATTTTACAGACTTTTAGCAAGTTGAAAGTCATCGAACTTAGTCATTCACTAAATTTGACAAGAACTCCGAATTGCATTGGGGTCCAAAATCTTGGAAGATTAGATCTTGAGGGATGTAAAAGTCTAGTTGAGATTCACCCATCCATTGGAGCTCTCAAAAAGCTTACTTCCTTAAATGTTAAAAACTGCACAAGTCTACGGATTCTTCCAGCAAAGATTGAAATGGAACTTCTTGAAGCTTTTATTCTTTCTGGCTGCTCAAGTCTTAAAAGGATTTCGGAATTTGTGAGCCCTATGGAGAATTTAAGGGAGATTTTTTTAGACGGAACTGCTATTGAAAGTATACCATCTTCAATTGAATGTCTGACTAGCCTTTCTTCTTTCGATATGAGAGGTTGCAAATATCTAAATTGTCTTCCAAGTACCATTGGCAATTTGAAGTCTCTTAAAAGTTTAAATGTATCTAGGTGCCCAAAACTTGCCAAACTGCCAGAAAGCTTTGGGGAACTAGAGTCTTTGGAGGAGATTGATATAAGTGAAACTTCTATAAAGGAATGGCCGTCTTCCAGTTTCGTTTTGAAGAACCTTAAATCATTAACTTTTCGTGGACGTAAATCAGGACAACGATGGTTTACGTCTCTCCGGTTTCTATTATGGCCAATGAAGAGATGCCAGCCCATGAGTTTGTTCGTGCCTCCCCTATCAGGGCTCTCTTCTCTAATGCACTTAGATCTAAGTGATCGAAATCTTTTGGAAGGAGAAATGCCCATGGATATTGACTGCTTAACCTCTTTAGTATCATTGAACTTAAGTGGAAATCATTTTATTATCCTTCCTGAACACATTAGCAGACTTTCTAAACTTGAGATTTTGTACTTAAGTGGTTGCAAGAAGCTGCAGCACCTTCCAGTCCTTGCCTCAGATATAAGCTTAGAAGTAACGGCAGATGGCTGTACTTCACTGAAAATGCTGCAATGCCCTTCAAATTTGGACAGATTGAAGTGGTCCTGTTTTAATTTCATCAACTGCATTGGATTGATTGACCAAGAAAGCTGCAATGATATAGCATTTGTGATGCTCAAAATGTACCTCAAGGTTCTCTCTCTCTCTCTCTCTCTCTCTCTCTCTCTCTCTCTGTGTGTGTTTTGTGTGTTTAACATAACTTTTTATGCTGTACAGAGAGTTCCTTATCCAGAAGATAGATACGAAATTATAATTCCTGGAAGAAACATTCCTTGGTGGTTCATGTATAAAAACTTGGGGAGTTCAGTAAGTGTAAAGCAACGTCCGCAGTGCCGTAAAAATAAGTGGATGGGATATGCTGTATGCGCTGTTTTTGAGGTTTCAAGCAGTGGATGGAACGTCACTTGTGACTTGAAAGTCAATGGAAAAGAAAAGTACCCTGCGCCTTTAATAGCAACCAATGTCCAACCTGTAGGGGAACATCTATGGCTGTTCTATGTGTCTCGTGATATCAGCTTCGACAGAGAGTGGCAAAACAGTTGCAATCAGTTAACATTTTCATTCACAAATTCAAGCTGCTGCTTTGTAAAGAAGTGCGGTGTCCGTTTGGTATATCAGAAAGACGTGGAAGATTTCGACAATGTAACGACTCAATCCAGCATTGACATTTCTCCATATGAGGCTATGGATGAAAAATCTGCATCTGTGCACGGTGCCACTATCAAGCGAAGTTATAGTAGGGAAGGATCTAGTAGAAGTGGTAGTAATTTTGATGAGGAATCACAGTTCAAAAGATTTAAAAAATAATCATTTCTTTCAACTGGCATATATACAACCTCCTTAATGCTTGAAGGATGACCAAATTCCCCAAATCACAGCCGCATGTGAGTGTATTAGCTAGCTTTGAATGTTCTTTCAAACAGCAGTTGGGCTTACAAGAAGTACCCCAACATTATAATTTTCACTTTACATATATGCTTTTTCTTTGTTAAGTATTGAGATTTGTTTCTCGTGGACTTTACAGATTACAGGGGATGTGGAATCTGATGCAAATTATCAGTTTTTGGAGCAGCTTGATACGCTGTCTGAAAGGGACATTGCAATGCTGGCAACCGGATAAGAGGGAAAGGATAAAGATAAGAGAAAAGAGAGGAGAGAAGAGGGGAGAACGTCGGACACTAGCAATAGTTCAAGGAGATTGCTAAATTTGCCCTAAAACCGTTAACATTCTGTAAATGCCAAAAGAGTTTGTGGGCTTTTGGTGAACATTGCGATGCCCGAGTCTCTTTGCAGGCTGTATTCCAGCTGCGCTGTGTTACTTGTTGATCAAGGAACGCTGGCTTGGGCCCTTAAGTTGGGCTCAAAGTTGCCCTTTTCTTTGTATGTGATTGGCATGCCACTACTAGTGTTTTACTCTTCTCATAGAAAGAGGAGATGAATGATTAGGTGATGTGAAGATGGTGTTGCGCTAGTCGATCTTAACCTTTAACCAAAGCCATTATGCTCCAAGTGGGGAATCTTGCTTGGATAGGTCCTTTTCTATGCCTCAATTAAGAGGACTTTAATATTTCACTTGCTATGGAATAAAACTTGGAAGGAATAACAACTTTAAACTGATATTGGACAGAAAGCAGAATATAAGTTTAAAGATACACATGTCCAAAAGGCATAATATTGTTACAAGAAAGCAATTTGCCCTCATATTTAACAGCAAATAATAATTTCTTTCAACTGGCATATATACAACCTCTTTGATGCTTGAAGGATGGCCAAATTCCTCAAATCGCAACCATATGTGAGTGTATTATAGCTAGCTTTGAATGTTCTTTCAAATAGCAGTTGGGCTTACAACAAGTACCCCAACATTATAATTTTCACCTTGTTAAGTTTTGGGATTTGTTTCTTTTGGACTTTACACATTACAGGGTGTTTGTGCAAATATTCTCTTCAGAGAATATCCGCTTGAAGATCCTTCGTCCTTTGAACTTCTTTCTCTCTCTTCCGCAATCCCTGTAAAATCAAATTGGAGTAAAAGACCACACTCAAGGGGTGTTATGCCTAAGTTAGTTCGATTGTATCTAGGAGAAAAAATAGCTAAACAAGGGTATGGAGTTTTCTCTACGGGGAGAACCGGGTGGCCGGAGTTGTGTGGAGAGACAAAACTGGAGAGGCCATCAGCTAGGAGAAAGGGATAGAGGAGTTTCAGGTATTTTTCTCGGGTTTTGGAATTACCTTGTGTGTTGAATGTAGCCATGTATTTATAGGGCTCTAAGTATCTAAGGTTTTTCAAAGAATAATTCCTCTTTAGAAGGAATATATTCTTTCCCCAAATTATAGAGATTGAATCAATTATGGATTTGATCGAGATCAAATCACTAATTGATGATGATATCTCCAAATTAGGATAATATCTTAATTGGTGATATTATCTTTTTAAATAGAGATAATATCCCATATTTAAGGTAATATCCCTATTTTTAGTATCAATTAATTTTCCAAATAAACGGGCTCAATTAATTGACCTAGGAGATATTCTTCTTGTCCACATGGTGTCTTGTGATTGGAAGCTGGATTATTTGCTCTCACAAATGCCCCCCAGCTTCTACATGGGACTTGTGAGGCATGTAGGAGGTGAAAAATATTCCTCGGGCTTTCTTCTTTGAGTTGGACTCCTTTTGCAAATTGGGCTCCTAATCAGAGTAGGCTTTTGACTTTTCTTGGAGTTGGACTCCCAATGGGAATAGTCTTTTGACTCCTCCTTGACCTAGGATGGCCAACCTGTATAAATACAAGACTCTTCTTCACTTTTCTTCAAATTGCAAACTTGTTTTCTCTACTTTCTAGTTTGAGAGAGATCTTGGAGAATTTGTATTGCTTGTCGAAGAAAGGAGTTGTCGTGCATTCCAAGGTAAGTCAAGCATGTATTTTTTTTTCTTCGTCTTTTCTTTTCCATCGCGAAGATTGGTCGGGTGGACATGCCAGTTGTTGTCATGACGGCAGTGGAGACGCAGCCTTTTTTTTTCTTTTGTTTGCAGCGAGGACCAATTGGGCATGCTCGATCGGTTGTCATCGTGATGTTGTTGATGGCAATGCGGCGGTCTGCTGTGGGTATGATGCTAGCAGCTGGCATCAATTGCCAGTAGTGGCGGTGGTGGCTGTCGGCAGAAGCCGCCACTACTCCCTTCCCATTCTTCTTCGCGACACGCGCCTAGCCCATCTAAGCTGGAGCGGAGCGGGCTGGCTGGTGTAGCTTGGGTCGTGAATTGGAGGCTTGGGTTGCGAGTTCTCGACTCGGGCCTTCAAGTTTTACCACAGATAATGCGGCTGGCAATACTTAGGCAATTGACTATGTGAGGAAGAAAATCAATGGGTGGAAAGACTCAAATAGTGTGTTAGGAGGAGTACACATGCATATGAGGTGTAGTGTTCATATAATCAACTTGATAGTTAAGGAGGGTTTGAAGAGATTGGAAAGCTCCATTGTGGCAATACATAATGCGGTGAAATATGTGAGGTCTTCACCTTCTCGGTTGAGTTACTTCAAAATGTGTGTTGAGATGGAAAAAATATAGTGCAAGAGGTTGGTTGTGATGGATGTTCCAACAAGGTGGAACTCCACTTATTTGATGCTTGACACATCATTAAAATTTTGAAAAGCTTTTGATAGGATGAGAGATTATCCCGATTCTTCCTATTTAATGTACTTCAAGGAAGAGGAAGGAGAGGAAGAGGGAAATGAAGGCATTGAAGGAAGTGGAAAAGGGAAGGGAAAGTCTAAGACTAATAAGAGGGTGGGGCCACTTAGTGATGAAGATTGGGACAAAGCCATGACATATGTAATGTTTTTGAAGACCTTCTATGACATTACATTGAAAATTTTAGCTTCTTTGCATCCAACATCACACACAACCTTCCATGACTTGATTGCCACAGATGGGGAGATTCGGGACTTGTATAGATATGATGTTACAACTCCTATTGAAGCACGGACATCCATGGACACACTTTTAAATGATATAGCAGCATCAATGAAGAAGAAATCTGATAAATATTGGGGTGAACTTTATAAAATGAACCCATTCTTGATGATAGGCATTGTCATTGACCCCCGGTTCAAGCTTTCCAATAGTGGCACGCCTACGCAACTCATGACCATGATAGAAGGAGCAAGCCGATAGGGCCTAGCCCGAACTCGCTCGTTCTTGTTAACTTGATTCAACTTTCAATTTTGTCTGAAAGTTGAAAGAATTCTCTTCGCGAGCTAGAAATCCAATCGGGCATTGGTGTTGATCCAACGACCTCCTCACTCTGCAGAGCAACTCGATCCAAGAGCAAACCACAAAAAGAGTGTTGGCTGGAAAAGGACCAACAATCACAAAACAAACAAAGATAGAACAGTGGTTGGAATGCTACAAGAGGATCCACCACTAACACCGCCTCCCTCGGTTTGCTAACCGTCATAATGGTTTGGTGACAATAAAAACCTGCATAATGATGGGTTGTGCTTTAGGGTGTGGTTGGTTCTTGGTATTGTCTGTTTTTGTATAAGTTGTTTGACTTTTCTATTTTAGTCCGTGTTGTGTAGATACAGCTGCACCAAAATGGATTCAGTTGCATCCTCAACTTGTGATACTCGCAAGTGCACGAGCCGTTGGTAGTTTAGCATATGTAAGTGCGAGGTCGATCCCACGAGGATTGGTGATTGAATGATCCAATTCATTTCCCTACACAAAACATAAATGAAAACAAAAGGAAATAAATACAACAAGAAAGAAAGAAAATAACTAACTCAAGCAGATAAGTTCCCAAGTTCAATTTAGATTAATGGATTGATTCTAGCTAAAGTATGATTAAGCCATGGTGTGTGGTCATAACCTTGTGTTCCTAATTCCCTAATTTGATCATTTGTTGTCTAACCTAAAATTAAGCATTAGGAACCCATTAAGCATAGAAGAACATTTTAAACAACCAAGTATGTATCTAATCCCTGTTGTCGAATGT